CTAATCTCAATGGTAAATACTTTTTGTAATGCCTAGTAACATTGTAAGATATTGTAGCCAAAGTCATTCAAATATCTAAAAAATATTCACTGAAAAGTCCACAATCTATTCTAATGAGTCATATCCTCAGCTTTTTTCATTCCAAAGTGACTTTAATCCCATCAGTGAATAACAATACTCCATGAAATCATATCAAAACGATGCTGTCCCGTGTTCAGTGGTAATTGAGTTTCAGTGGCATTGTAATTTTGGGGCCTAACATTGCTTTATTTTAGATAGTGTGTTAGACATGAAACCATTTACACCAAGTGTGTGGTCAATTTTTCCATAATTGGTCATGTATATCAGCTGAGTAAAAACTGATAATATGCAGAAAAAAATTCCTTTAAATCAAAGCTAGATTTTAAAATAAGAAATGCAATGATGGCAGCAAAAGTGTTAAAACAGGATTTGAGCAGCTTTAGAAATTCTCTCTTCATATGGTTTTTCATAATAAATACATATGATATGATCTAAAAAAAATAGCAAATACATCTTTGATGTGTCAAAGGTGTATCTGATGACTCAAAGGGTGACAATTTTTTTCTCAAGCAGTTTATCTATAATATAAGCACAAAAAACAGTTTAAACAATTATCCTTTCAGAGCCCTCCTTTCACTTCAGATTCACAACTGCACTGGAAACTGAAATCTTGAAGCCAGTGGAACATTTAAAAGTAGGAGGTAGAAAACATGAGTCCATTTTCTGTCAACCAATACTTTGAGTTCCGTACATCGAAAATCTCAGATTTTACAGCACCATGCATCGACAGCAGTTGCCCAAGCTGCCCCTGCCAGAATTGACAATAAGGTGCCAGAATTTACTAAATTCTATATCAAAACATTGTNAATTTAGTTAATTAATTTTACAACATTCTGGAAGAAGAAAATTGGCCTGGAGCACAAACACAAACTTGCAACTCCCACTTACCATGTGGATGTGTTGCCAGTTATGATAACCAGACCCCATGAGTGGTTCTACACTTCCAGACATTTTAAAATCAAATGTATCTAGAGGCAGATTTATTTAATGTGTTAATTTAAATAAATGCAGCATTTTTACAATAAGATGATGATTTACATGTCACTTGAAAAATAAACTTCATTAATGTTTAAAAACACTTCTCCATTATCAACTAATTTGAAAGAGAATCTTGCCTACCATACCATATCACATTTGAAAATATTGGAGCACTTAATGTTTCCTCCTACCACTTTTGCAACTTCCAAAAGTGACTAAGAACCTTCAGCTACAATTAGATCTTGTTTTGAAGGAAGCTTTCACAATATGTAAAAACATCCTTTAATCGTAATTTTGCAAATATCATCATGCAGTCATTCTTCTGCAAAACAAATTTCTATGCTATTGATGTTAGCAGAAGATATCAAAGCCATATTTTCATTCTTTAACAAATGAAAATGCAATTATAGACATGTTTAGGTTAAACAATGACTTCATTGTCAAAGTATGTATGTATTGTACATGAACATACAGAAAATGTTTTGTTTTTAAATAAATATTGTTATGTAACATTTCTTAATTGTTTTGACATTGACTTGTTACTTGAAATGAGTCAATTTTGTTGTTCTTTTACCCTGCTTATTGTACTGTATATTTTTTGTGACTATCCACCATATTATATGCTTTTGTCCTTCTGACAATTTCTCCTGCTCTTTATTCTTTCCAACTTCTAGAACTTTCTTATCTTCTTAATTATTATTTCTTAGAGGTGAGGTCCATTTCCTAGAATTCACCAACATTGTATGTGAGGTTATCTGAGGACATATGAAGCAAAAGGAAGGTCACTTTTGGGTTTGTGTTTGAAGAAAGAAGATCCCAAAACGGGAGAGATGATACAGTGCCCTGTGGCCAAGAGATAAATGAGCCTAGAACTTCGAGTGGTAACTTTGAAATTTTCAGGCCAAACTTTATTGTGTTAAGCAGACATTTCAGCTTTAAGAGTCTGAATGTGCAACCAAATTTTAGGATAAAATATATAAGAAAACTGAAGAACTGACAAAACGAAAGATACAAGCAAGTATTTTGCATTTAAACTCAAACATGGCCTTCGTGGTAATGAGAGATTCAGATATTCTTTCCTATCCTATTTGCCATCTTCACTACTTCTTACTCCCTATTTTCAATTTTCTTTTATTAGAGTAAGTGTAGTATTATACTGTTACAAAACACCTTTCAAGTATTATACCATTACAAAAGTGAGAAAGGTTTTTTGTAATAGTATATAGAAGTTCTAGCTTACAGTGCATAGAAGTGTAGTATTAAGAGTTAGTTTTAGGAAAATTATTATTGTAATCATTATTCTTGTTTACAGTATTGAATTATTGTGATCATGATTCAGTGTGACATGGCCATTTTATTTTTGTAATTGTTCTACCAACAATCGGGTTTAAGATTACTGCTGGAGTAGCCATCCTAGAGTTGGCATCCTTTACTGAACCTGTACATAGTTATATCATGCAAATATAAATTGAATTTGTAACATCTACTGTGAGTGTTTCTTTTTCTTGGGTGTTTGCCTTAGTGGGCTAACGAAAACTCTTTCATATCTCACATTTTTAAACGAGTCAGTTTTTCTCTTTCAAAATATTCCTGGTTTCTTTAATTTATTATAAAGTGTAAATTATAATGTTATAAAAAAAAGATCACATTGATACCAACAGCATTTGAAATACCAACCTCATGACAATGAAACTGGCATGCCTCCCAAGTCACCAGCCACACTGCAAATAATAGATATTCTGAAGGTTTTAAGTGATTGTGAAATTTTCAACTTTAATTTTCAGTAATGTGCCTTACTGCTTGGCACATATCAGTAGTCGGGGACACACTATAACCTCACCAAGTTTGATCAAAATTGGTGAGCCCACCATGACATTCTCTTGTTAGTTATTTTATAGTATATAAGAATATAGTTGCCATAAGTATTGTATAAATATAACACACACAACTTCTACTGTTCAGGTAATAGTTTTCATTGTAATATGTACATTTATAGTTGTAATCTAAAATTGATAATGTTTTTAACCAGACTGATGTTGAATAAAGAAAGTACTATTGAGAGACAGTTCAAAATGCATTTTCTTCAAAATTAATAAAACCTGTATAATCTATCTTATTTATCATTTAAACATGTTAAATAAATCTGTTTATTTATTTAACATTATGGATAAAGATGCTGTATTTTAACAAGATTTTAAAGTGTATGATCTAGACATTTGAACAATTTTTAAAATTTAAACTATTATTTTTTAACCTGTAAGTACTGATTCTATTATTGTTTAAAAATATTAATAATGTATGATATATAATATACTGACTTTTTATGTAGAAATAACTCTAAAGAGAAAACAAAAGTGTACATTATTCCAAAATGCATATGTAAGAGCAAATTAAGCAAATACAGTCGACCCCCCTATAATTACGGTCCCTATAGTTACGATTCCTATAAAACTACGAAAAAATTGCTACCGGTATCCGTAAAAAATAGTAAAAGTTCCCTATAAACACCTCAAACGTCATCGGGAAGCCGAACTACTTTCCCGCCGTCCGTAGCGCCACGCTACGGAGAGATTTCTATCGTCTGGACAGTATTATATAAATTATATATAAATTAGGTACTGTACATATAATTATATATTAATTATATATAAATTAGGTACTGTATATATAATTATATATTAACTTATTGTAACTTTGTTATAATTAAATATATAATTTCCGCCGTCTAGCGTGGCGCCACGCTACGGAGATTTTTACGCTAACTATCGTCTGTCAGTATGTAAATTAGGTACCGTAAGTCTAATACAGTACTGTAATTTTATACATTTCTTGTGAAAGAAACATTTCTTATTCAACGGCGATTAAAATTATTTATATTAATGATGTCTCCGAAGTTCTACGAAGTTTTCACAGAAAAATAAGTTGTTAGAAATCGGCCGCTCTTTGCTGAGCTGTTCCGCGACGAAAACAATGTTGAGCAATGGCAATGTCGAATGGTGACACTCGGTAAGTAATCCTACAATTTTTTGTTTATAGCGTAGTTTATACGGATTATTCCCAAAAAATATATACGTATTTTGGAAATGTTGAGTCGGATTAGTCTAGAATCGATTAATTTTATGGAAGAAAATCTTTCAAACAGCCGTAGTCCGTAAACTTGATACGTGTCGGGTTGTGATTGGAAGGATTCGTAAGAAAGCGGATTCCTAGAGAATGGAACGTATCTCTATCTTATAGGGGGGTCGACTGTAAACTCATTGTCATTGAAAATCTGAGAATTTCAATACAGCACTTCTAACATCCAAACTTACTTGAAATTTATAGAGAAAAGAAAAATGGAAATTTAGTACCCCTTATCCACATTGTAGTTAATAATTAGAAATATATTTAATTTAGAATATTTTAGAAAAAAAGACTGGTCAGGAATAGGACTTGATCCCTCAATTCATGCTTACCATACATATGCATTGCTGATTACACTACCCAGATCTCCATCCGATCTTCGCTTCCAAATCAACCAATTAATTTAAATATAACCATACTGGTAATATACTGGTTCACAGCAAACAGTGACATAATATTAATTAGTCTTAATATAGCCCAATAACAATGCAGCTGTTTGTTTGACCAGTTTATTTTATTTAACGTCAAAAGTAAGTAAACTGTCTCTCTGATTTTAGTATATTGGATTTGTCTTTATTTATTTTTCTTGTAATTTTGTTTTTAAAATAAAATTATAAAATATATTTTATTACTAAAAATGATGTAAGAGTTAATTTCGTTTTCATGTATGTTACTTACACAGAATATGACTGTTTAAATTTTATTTGAATATATTTTCTTAAAACTCCAATCCAGCAAAAGCAACACAATTATAGATTTTATTACTAATGATAACTTTATAAAATAATTTTATATTTAACAAGTTTTTTAAATTCTACCTTTAAGACATAAGCAAAAAAACTTCCTTGAATATAGTTGTCTGTTTTGAGAAACATCTCTCTTAGACGACTTTCACCAATTGGATTATATTTAGCATTAAACTTATCGAATCTGTGAAACGTATTTCTATCCTGTAAAATTTTATTTCATATATTAAGCATTCTATTACTTTCTACTAATAAAAAAATTATAATAATTACTTACAGCATGAACATCAAGCATATCAACACTGAGATCATATGCATTAACATTCAATAGTTGAAAAACCTGTAAAAAATTTAGATTATAAAATTTAATTGAATCAGTTTGTAAAACTTTCATAAATACTTCTTCAAATAAATATACAGTGGATTCTTATTAGCATAATTCCTATGTACTGTACTGTACATCAACTATCACTTAGTGTTATCAGTTCTTGATATCCTGACAAAAGCCTATACAAATGATAGAACAGAAAAACCACTGCCTAGGCTATATATGCAATGATAACCACATCAACCCAGAATTACAACACACTACCCTAACACAATGAATTTGCCATATAAATCAGTTTAAGAATTTAGAAGCATTGGAAATATTTAAAGCAAACTGCCATGGTCTATCTATCAATTTTAAATAAAAACAAATCTTAAGGGCATGGCAAGCTATATTAGACTGGACATTATAGCAAACAATGCAGGCATGTAACATCTAATTTTTTCAAAGCCCAGAAATCACCTAATGTGTGGCATTACACAAGAAAAAAAAAATGAAATCAATGGTTGGTTGGTGTCAGGCTCGGACTTTTAAACGGGCAAAAACACGAATGAATTTGTTCAAATGTAGAAATCTGTTAATGTATGAAAAAGCCTGAAATAAATACTGAACTAAGCATAGAAAAAACAATTAAATTTACTATTATTCTCTGAACTACATACAATAGTTAATAGTAATAAATACAAAATAAGTTAAAAGAAACTAACTGTACAAGTTATAAAATTTAATAATACTTTATCTTAAATCAAAACCAAAACCAAAACTACACGTGGTGTGACTCACGTCAATAAAGAGAATTCCATTGTCGTAAATGTTTTTCCAGTTTTTTATCAAAATATGCAACAACGAATTATATAAACTATTATAACTATTCATTAATACATTTAATAAATAAGTAATTCAATGGAAAACTTTGATATATAATTCTTCCCAAATAAATAAGTAATTACATTTTGTAACTCGTAGTTGTTATTTAAAAGCAATCTGATGAACTTTGATTCCTTTTGTTTACTGTTGAATTATACCAGAAGATATAACTGAAATTTTTTTGTTGTTTTTGATATATTAATTAAAATTTATAAGTGTATTTTAATTATAAATCATATTATTGTAGAAAATTTGAACCCACAACGTCTGAAAGTTTTTAATGTGATTAATATTCATTAAGTACTCTACATTCAATTGATATGTATATTTTTTGGGAGTTATGTGCTTATTAGCTGAATTTGATTTATGTATGCCATTGATAACCTTTGCTGTGATAAAATAAAACTTGAAATTTATTTTATTTTATTGTTAAATAGTATACTTGCAGGTACACTTGCTTATACTGATATATCAATAGTTATATCTGTTGCCATAAAATTAAATTTGCAAACCAACTAAGTTTGATAATAGTTTCGGTTTTGGTTTCTGAAGTTTTCAAGGTTCATAGAGTGTATTTGAAATTGAAATAAATATTTTGAGAAGAACAATGGTCAGTCATTGCCAATGGCCTTAGCTTAGGTCTTCTGTATCAAAAACAGCAAAAAATAAAGTTGTTTGAAAATGGTTTTGGTTTTGGTCGAGCAGTAGACTTATCTTATAAAATTGGCTGCGTTTTTTTATGCCGTGCTTGAGAAGTGCTTTACAGCAAACACTTTGAAACCCATTTGTAAATGCAGTGCTGCAATGTAGCAAACTGTTTTTAGATGTCTGCTGCAGTGAAGACAAAGCAGCTTTTACGTCTGCTACATGTGTAAAGCAAAATGGATGCCTCCACATCGAAAATGTTTAAAGTCGTATTGTGCTCTGGAGAAAAACAAATAAATGTTACCGTAGACGAAAATACCATGAAACAATTAAGTACAGGTAAATATCTTTATATTTATATACATCCAGCTGTAAGATTTCTCATAACTGGGTCTGCAGGTTCATTATAATCATCAACAAATGCATCCTCTGTACAGTCAATATCACCTTGATTTAATGCACAAATTGTGTAATATACATGATGTCATTATGACTTGACATTGATGAAATGTTTTCCATGTCCAGATATTTCAGTCGATGGAATTGCCTTTTTAGCAGACCTATGGTTTGTTCTACCACAACTCTGCTAGAACTGTGTTTTCTGTTTTACAGTAAGATTTTTAATTGTACCATATAAAGATTATTACCATAATCTTTATATGGTACAATTAAAAATGTATCTAACAGATATGCTGAATCTCCAAGTAAATAATATTTATNTTCAAAAAAAACTTACTTTTGATTTTAGAATCAGTTAACAATTGAGATTAAGAGACCATTTTTTAATTTCTATTTGAAAAATCACTCAATCCAAGATGATGCAATAGATTGGTGACGTAGGTGATATTGGTGTCAGTCATGGTAAGACTATTATTTTTCAAAATTTAGATTTTATTTTTTGGTTAGGTGGGGGAGTTTTTGTCCTTTAACAAAATAAAACATCCCCAAAATAAATAACAAGAACTAACTAAAACCCCCGAAAATAAAACAAAATTTCAAACTTAACTCCTTACAGGAATGCTTTATTGGATAATGGAAGAAAAACTTAAAAAAAAGTTTAAAATTTGAATATATCAGAGTCTTACATCTATTCCAAGAGTGAATGCTAAAACCATAAAGATTCAATTTTTTAGGGAGTTCTCTACCTGAAGAAGGTCAGAGATGTGGACTGAAAAGATTAGTGATGTAACAGTTTTCACAACTAAATGCAACAAAGATTGTTTGAATAACACTATTGTTCAAAGATCACTTCATTAGAAGCCAACATTTTAGTAAGTACTAAAATCCACTTAAGGGACACCAAATTAACAGTTACTATTAACATTTTTTGGCTTATTTGCCAAAATTAATAAAATTATTAACAACAAAAAACTTTCAAAAAATTAATAAATTTTAACAGATTTCTGTATTTAAAATTTCAGTCAATGAAGCATTCAACCTATATGCAGGTTAAGCACCAATACCCAATTCTAGTTTGCCAGATCAACTGAAGTCACATAATAACTCAACAGTATATCTTGCACTACTAATTAAAAACCTTCATCCTAGCATTATAGAATATTAGAATCTTAAATTAAGTATATAATAAATGTGAATTGGTGTTTATATTTTAAACTAACACTTGCATCTTTCTAACATTTAATGCTTGCTATGGGTTCTAAGTGAAATAAGCTAAAAGTTGCAAAAATTACAGATGGGAGAACATGGGTTAGAAAAATATTTGATCAAAAGTGAATATAAGTATTAAATTCATACGTAAGTGTTAAATTTACTTTATCGAACTATCACAGGAAAGACATCATAGAAACCATTCAGGAAGTGATTGTACTTCCCATGAATTTTTGCTTCCTTCACAAAAGTTACACATCTTCTGAACAACTACTCATCAGAAAGCTAATGCCATATTTGTAGATTGGCACAACAAACCAGAAAAATGGGCATTATAAGGACCGCCCCCAATAAAAAGGTAAACAACCAATGATGATACACAGAGTTCGTCAATCATCTACTTGTGAGAACTAATCCATCTGTGCTCCACCTCCAATCCCATCCACACCACCGTTTGCTGTTCATAATTTTCAATCTTCCATCCAGTACTAAGCAACCATCCCTTGAGATTCATCCAACCAAGATATTTATCAACACATGTTCAATGTTGTAAACTCTCTCTCTCCCGCAACTAAATAGACTCTCCCAAAATGTTTTACACCCACAAAACTTGTAAAGCTATTTTGTTAAATAAACAAGTATTAATTTGCTTCAGTGTGTAGTGGAGTGCATTATTTCTGGCACACTGTCTCTGATCCTCCTCCATCCTGAATTTGACCACATATATATGCAACTGTTCACGTAAGTTAAATAACGGGCCTAACAGTCACAACAGTGTCAGTCCTGATGCAGCATTCTGACCCTTCAGTCACAGAGAAATTGCCAACAAATTGCATTAGAGAAAATTCAAGTGAATGCCCATTTCATTCAATAGCATCTGTGCCATTCATCAAACAATAATCCATGCTGAATTTACTAAGGTTTGGTTTATTGATTTATTTGGGCCTAGCCAGTTTTTCCACCTCCTTGCATTTAGCATTATTGTTTCTTTGATCTTGCTTTTCTGCCCTCTGGTAGGGCAGTTGGGCATTAGTATTATTTCTTTAACAATGGCATTTAAAGACAATAAATTACAACAAGTTCTTTGTATGCAAAAATTGCTAAGAAGCATGATGTTTGTATAGCTTTCAAGTGTATTTTCAACGTACTTCATAATGGAAAGGACCCTCCCAGCCGTACCAGACTTCCTGACATATACAGTTTCCCTATCAGGGACACCAGATGCGATAGGGACCTTCTGTATATCAGATCCACTAAACATTCTACGAGAACCAGGATACAAGAACATGTCTCAGACATGCAACAGCTCTACAGCTCTCTCTATCTATACAGTGGATCCAGAAATTGTGGTGGACTTTACACAGGCCAAACTCTTCCTTACCATACCCCACAGAGCATCTAAGATGGTTGGAGACCATTGAAATCTTCAAAGCCAATTTTACATCATCCTGTATAAATTTTAAGGAGGAAATGATACTGTTGTTGTCCTGTAAGGCTCTAGTTGACACGATGCTTTAGTCCTTTGGTTGATTCTCTGTTATGCACATGACAATGCATGTACAGCTTTGAATTTTTAGTCATACTTCAAATTTCTGGTTAAAATTTTATATTTAGTTCAAGAAGGTTTTATGTTCTGAATGATGTTCCATCTAACTACTGTTACAATGTCTGAAGAACTACTCAGAAGTTGTAAAATGTTTGTGATAGTTTTTTTTCCTTCACACCAGATATTGGTTTTGTGTGCATTATTTAAAGACAAATACAGTTGATATAAAAATAAAATATCAGTTGTGACTTTACTGTACAGTAATATATTTCATAATAAATTGCTTATTAAAAATTTGTGTAATTTATATTTTTCAATAAAATTTATAAATTAAAACAAATTGAAA